GTGGTTTAATTCAAAAAGTCGGGACATGCCTGCGGAATGTCATATTCAGGGTTTTAAATTGTTCCAAGTAGATAGAAGTATCGGGAAGGGGGATGGGGTGGCATTGTATGTCCGAGATCGCTTGAACTGTTGCATAAAAACAGGTATTAAGTCTGAAGTAACACATACAGAGTCTGTTTGGATAGAATTTTCAGAGGGGCATGAAAAACTGATTTTAGGAGTGATATACTGTCCCCCAAACTTAGATAGGGACCAAGGGAGGCTACTATGGGAGGAAATTGTTAAGGCCACAAGGCACGATAATGTAGTAATTCTAGGAGACTTTAACTTTAGTCATATTGATTGGAATTTCTTGACTTGGAATTTAGAATCATACGACTTCTTAGAAGTAGTTCAGGATTGTTTTTTGAAGCAGTTTGTGACAGAACCTACAAGGGGAAATAACCTGCTTGACTTAGTTATGGCAAACAATGAATCCCTTGTTAATAATTCAGAAATTTCAGAGGAATGGGTGCTAGCGACCACAAATCAATTACATTTAGCATTGTAATGGAAGTACGATAGTAGCGATAACTCAGTAACAGTCCAGATTTTCGCTTAGGCAGATTACGATGGGCTTAGAGAACACTTATCATCTGTTGACTGGGGTAACGAAGTGAGATATCAATATGACAGTTTTCTGAACACTATACATGCTGCTCAAAGAACGTTTTATCCCATATAAAGAAATTAGATCAAATAGAAATGACCCAAAATGGATGAATAATAGGCTCAAATATCTACTAGGGCATAAGAAAGGAATTTATAGGCGTATCAAAAGAGTGGAGGTCATCTTATGAATCAGTATATTGACATTAAGAGGGACATTAAAAAGGGGATAAGAAAAGCTAAAAGGGACTATGAAATTAAAGTTGCTAGGGATTCTAAAACCCAAAAAGTTTTTTCCAGGTCTATAGAACAGAAGTTAGAGATAAGATAGGTCCCCTTAAAAATAACTATGGGCACCTTACTGACAAAGAGAATGAAATGTGCTCGATTTTTAATAATTATTTTTCTCTCAGTTTTTACACAGGAAGACACTAACAATATTCCAGTAATTAATTTTTATAGTGGGCTAGAAGAAGATAAATTATGTAACATCACAGTCACTAGTGAAATGGTTGTGAAGCAGATAGACAGACTGAAGCAAAATAAGTCGCCGGGACCTGATGAGGTTTTTTCAAGGGTTCTTAAGGAATGCAAAATGGAACTCTGTGAACCATTAACTAATATTTTTAATTTATCTCTTCAAACAGGTGTAGTGTCTGATATGTGGAAGATGGCTAATGTAATTCCTATTTTTAAAACGGGACAAGTCGTTACCGTCAAATTACCGCCCATTAAGCCTGACCTCAATTGTAGGCAAATTACTAGAGTCAATTATAGCTGAGATTATAAGAAGCCATCTCTATAAGCATAGCTTGATTAATGATACTCAGCATGGATTCACAAGAGGCCGGTCTTGTCTAACTAATTTATTAACTTTTTTCAGTAAAGCTTTTGAGGCTGTTGACCACGATAAAGAATTTGATATTATTTACTTAGATTTTAGTAAGGCTTTTGATAGAGTTCTGCACCATAGACTATTAAAGAAAGTGGCAGCTCATGGCATTGGGGGAAAAGTGCTCTCATGGATCGAGTCATGGCTCACTGACAGGAAGCAGAGAGTGTCCATAAATGGGGTTAAATCCGAGTGGGGATCTGTAACAAGTGGCGTTCCACAGGGATCAGTCTTGGGCCCGTTGTTGTTTATAATATATATCAATGATCTTGATGAGGGAATTACTAGTGATATGAGCAAATTCGCCGATGATACAAAGATAGGTAGGATAATTGATTCAAACGTAGATGTTATGGAACTTCAGGAGGATTTAAACAAACTCTATTCTTGGTCAGAAAAGTGGCAGATGCAGTTCAATGTAGATAAATGCAAGGTTCTGAAGCTTGGGAGTGCCCATAACCCTAGTACTTATAAGTTAAATGATGCAGAACTTAGCCATACAGATTGCGAAAAGGACTTGGGGGTTATGGTGAGCAGCAACCTTAAACCAAGACAGCAATGCCTAAGTGTACGTAATAAGGCAAATAGATTACTGGGATTTATATCAAGAAGTGTAAGCAACAGAAGTCCAGAGGTCATACTGCAGCTTTATACATCATTAGTAAGGTCTCACCTAGATTATGCAGCTCAGTTCTGGTCTCCATATTACAGAATGGACATAAATTCGTTAGAAAACATTCAGCGTAGGATGACTAAATTAATACATAACATTAGGAATCTTCCTTATGAAGAAAGATTGAAGACTCTTAAGTTACATTCACTTGTTAGACGAAGAATGAGGGGAGACCTGATCGAAGTGTATAAGTGGAAGATAGGTATTAATAAAGGGGATATTAATAAGGTCTTGAGGATGTCTCTCCAAGAGAGAACCCGCAGTAATGGATTTAAATTAGATAAGTTTAGATTTAGAAAGGACATAGGAAAGTATTGGTTTGGAAATTGGGTAGTTGATGAGTGGAACAGTCTACCTAGTTGGGTTATTGAGGCTGGGACTTTGGGTAGTTTCAAATTTAGGTTGGATAAGTACATGAGTGGGAGGAGTTGGATTTGAGTGGGACTTTCACATCAGAGCTTATTTCTTGGGTGGCATTGAAAATTGGGTTGGGCAAATGTTTTGTTAGTGGGATGAATTGTAAAGGACCTGCCTAGTATGGGCCAACAGGCCTCCTGCAGTGTTCCTCCTTTCTTATGTTCTTATGTTCACTAACTTTGCGAGAGCATAATTCTGTAAGTTTTCCATCAAATTTCACACTTTTGGTGTCATTATGATTGGGAAAAGATTCTCTATCTTTTCATAAGAATTTGTTTTTTTTTCTGAAAAATTTTCAACTCTGAGAACAAGTTTAGGAGAGGGCCTCTTGACCCTGAAAGGGTTAAACCAAAAACACAGTCGAAGTTTTTTTTTTTCTCATTATGTACAGCATGCTTCAGGATTTTTTATATACTGCACACACTGACCACACAGACCCATTCTTTCATATGCAGGCCTGCCAGCTTTCTTCCACCAGATTTGAAGGCGCTAGAATTTAGGCGTACAAGTACGTGACCGACCCTGGCTGCAATGACATACTTGAATGTGACCAACTCTCAAAGGGTTAAGACTACAAATATTTTCAGGTAAGTAATGAATGTACTCTATGTATTTTACTTTTTATTGTGTTTTTTAATGCCTAGTTCTATTAATAACTTAATATAAGTTAGTGTAAATTTGTTGTCTGGCATTTATTTACATTTATAAGTGGAAAAAATGGCGTTCTGCTTTCCGGCAATGTCCACTTTCTGGCAATAGCCTGGAACCTAACCTGCTGTATAAGTGGGGCCCTATTGTACATATATGGACTACTAAAAACCAATAATAGTCACAAGCAAACATAACCATGAAATCCTTAACATTTGGTATTAGCAGTGCTCCACAGGTTAGCAGATCTTCTCACCAAACCATTAGCAGCACTCATTTCTGCCATTCACATTACCTTCCTAAAAGGACTGAAAGCATCAACACGAATAACAAAATTAAACAGCCTTGACATCATATCATTCTTCACTAGATTACACATCGAGCCATAGCACTGCTATGGAAAATGAGACTGGACAGAACTATCACTACTCTGTCTATCTTTTACAGACCTAATGAAGTTTGTACAGTATTAACTTCAATTACATTTGTCTTAATAAAGCATTTTATAGAAGTTAATTTGGGACAGATATAAGATTAGCTGTAAATGCTATCCTATCTATCCTCTACATAAAATACGCACCAATGCATGTTCAGAGTTTACCTCCAAACTAACCAAAGAGTGACTGTATATATTTCTTTTCCGTTCATAACAGAAAGATTAAAGTCTTTATAAACTTCTTCAGAGCCTACAGAATCTGAAACCCCAAATTTCTGGAAGAATAATGCCATGTTATTAGTGACATCTTCACCACCCTACATTTCTTTCATTCTTTATCCAGGATAGTAGACTACAAGACCTGAAAATATTTTCCACGCCCAAAAGAGATAAAGATCATGACAGATGTCTCATTCATCCCACAATAAACATTGCTAATATAGTCACACAAGCATTTCGTAAGTCATACGAGGTATCGCCAGCATTGAGAACAACAGTTATAACAACATTAATGCTGATGTCTACACCATTTCCTGAAATGGGTGTGATGAATAATACAGAGACTACACACAATTTAAATACAAGACTATATGAACATCAATATGCCTGTAAAACTCACAACACCAATAATAGATGTTTTCCACAGAGACAAATATTCACACCTAATGGCATGGCAAGGTGACATACTCATTAAGGAAAGGGATAGGACTAGAAGAAAATATTTAGAAGCAGCAGCAGCAATTAGTATCACAATACCAGTGAACAAAAACAAATGTGCATTTAGCTTAACCCTTTAGCACACATTTACCAGTCTGTGATTAGGTGACATTTCAAATCTAGCAGTGACCTATAGACCTGCTCCTCTAGCAGCATCCTTCAACCCTGGACAGTGACTTTATAATTTCCACACCTGATTGATTCCAGTTCTGACTACAACCATCCATAAGAAACTCTATCACCTCTAAAGGGACATCACCTATTTCTGCTTCACCATTACAGCAAGGTACACACACATACATGTTAACTGTAACTTCTGTATGGCTTTATAAAACAATATAAAGAGCAAAACATTATACCAGCTAATATGCCAGTCTATCCAATAAATTTAACAAATGCTAGACTTGATATTCTCTGTAATAAAGAACAATACACAACTTACCCCCAACTGGCTAGAAATTTTCTGGACAACAAGAGGTAGCTCAAAAGTATCCAAAAATATTATATTAAATGTTGGCAATTCAACAACAAAAATCCACTATTGTAAAGAGGACAGTACATTAACTAACCTCTTCTGAGAGGACCATGAACAGGATCGTGTCTTGTTATAGTCTGTTTGCGGGCCTTCCTCTTCTGTGAACCAATAAGAGGTCCACCATCAGAGCTTGCTACCAATCCTTCTCCAGGAGATAAAGAGCCTCCACTAACAAGAATTGGACCCTGAGAAGGGCTGTGTTGTTGTGTGTTGATAGAGGAGGATGAAGACGAAGAAGGCGTTGGGGAAACAGCAGGCTCTCCATCAGACAGGCTTCCTCCGGCACTTATGCTGCTGCTGCTGCTGCTGCTGCTACTACTACTATGACTACTACTGACACCCCCTACTGTTGCAACTCTGCTCGCCACAACAGTGGTCGACGTAGGTGGTGGGGCGTCAGAAGTGGAGTCTGCCTGAGCAGAAACCCGACTACTACTGGTGACTACTCCTACTGTGGGTTCTGAAAAAATTGCACAAATTTCATTAGCCCAAGTCTGAAATACAGGAGGGCCCCACTTCACAGCGCTTAACTTTAGTGTGTTTCACTAATACAGTGTTTTTTTTTCAATTATACCCATTCTTCATTTATTGAAGCTACCTACAATAAATATATTCACCACTCATTATAAGCAAATTACAAAAATATTTTAAGGCAAGTAATGTGTGTACTGTATATGTATTTTTTAGGCCTAGCTATATTGCTCATTTAATATATGATAGTGTAAACATTTTATCAGTCTTCTATATGCATTTGAAAGTGAAAAAGGCTTTGTTTCACTTAACAGCAATTTTTTTCTTTACAGCAGTAGCCAGAACCTAATCTGCTGTATAGCTGGGACCCCCCCTGTAATTATTTCATACCATGCTTAGTATTAAAAAAATAATATCAGCTATGTTCTACTGAGACACAATGAAGCAAAGGTAGACACATTCACTGTCATTCATTCAAAAGCTGTTTTGCCAGAAATGCACAAGAGTGTAAAGCACCCTTCTGGCAAGACAGTGATGGAGTGAATGATGGTGAAAGTTTTTCTTTTTCGGGCCACCCTGCCTTGGTGGGAATCGGTCAGTGTGTTGTTAACAATAATAATAATAATAATAATCATAGTTCAAATAAAACTGAACTACAACATCCCCAGTCATCTTTCAGGGAGCATGTATTGTACTTCACACTTTCAGAACTCAAATTTGGTTAACTAAATTCCCATACTAATAACAGACATTCTTCTTCTTTTAACGTACCAGCTGTATCCCACTGAGGTGGGGTGGCCCAAAAGGAAAAACGGAAGTTTCTCCTTTTACATTTAGTAATATATACAGGAAAAGGGGTTACTAGCCCCTTGCTCCCAGCATTTAAGTCGCCTCTTATGACACGCATGCCTTACGGAGGAAGAATTCTGTTCCACTTCCCCATGGAGATAAGAGGAAATAAACAAGAACAAGACCTAGAAAGAAAATAGCAGAAAACCCAGAGGGGAGTGTATATATATGCTTGTATATGTATGTGTAGTGTGACCTAAGTGTAAGTAGAAGTAGCAAGACATACCTGAAATCCTGCATGTTTATGAGACAGAAAAAAGGACACCAGCAATCCTACCATCATGTAAAACAATTACAGGCTTTCGTTTTACACTCACTTGGCAGGACGGTAGTACCTCCCTGGGCAGTTGCTGTCTACCAACCTACTACCTACATAATAACATACATATTTCCCAATATTTCTTACAATCTTTGTCCCCCTTTTACCCCTATAAAAACAAGGAACCTTCCTTTTTCATATTCTTTTTTTTTAACACCTAGGCCATCTCCCACCAACACAAGGTAACCAGAAAAATGAAGAAACAAAAGTTGTTGTTCTTTTTACATTTAGTAATACAGGAGGAGTTACTAACCACTTGCTCCCAGAAATTTAGTCGCCTCTTACGACATGCATGACTTATGGAGGAAGGATTCTTCTCCACTTCCCCACCGAGTTTTTCAAAAATATATTAATATACCAATAATTAAAAAACTAAATCCCCTCCTGCTTTCAGCATCTTGGTCCTAATCCATCCATCATTGCTGCTTTACCACCATTCAGCCTGCTTCACTCACTTCCTCTACACGTGACTCATATTCTCTATCTTACATTTACTTAACAAAAATACAAGCACTTACAGATGCTTCCAAAATAATAAATAATAAAAGGAAGTGGAATGATTAGAAACTCACGTGTGGCTGGCAGCGTTTGCAAAGAGTTGGAATTAGTGGCATGTGTTGAAGAGGCTGAAGATGTACGCTTCCTCTCTTTCTTACGACGAGTGAATTCATCTAAACTTAGTGAAGGAAGCGCCTCAATCCTGGCCTCTAGATTAAAGTCACTGTTGGTAAAAGCAAATTATAATCTGTGGTAATATCAGAGTAGAATATTAAGATAACCTATAAAATCACAAGTAGAAAAGCAAACGAGACAAAAATTATTTTGTTTTAATTAATTTATAACTAATTCTTAATTTATATTAAAATTGTCATCTGATATACTCAATTGCCCTTACTCTGGGTGAAGTCGACGCAATTGCCGCCGACCCTTTCTTCCTCCATCCTCTTGTCTCCGACCTCCTGATTCCCTGTGCACGACAAAGACCAGCATTAAAATCGTAAGCGTACATTAATTTGTATATTGCATAAATAATCAGTGTAAGTATACCAGTGTGGCAGATGAGAGGATGGAAGTTGTGAAATCTGAAGAGCACTTTGACCTAGAAGATTACTCAGTGTCCCTTGCAATAAAAAGAAACTACATAAGGGTTAAAAATAAATAAGGAATAAAAATGAAAAGTACCAGCATCACCAATGATGATGATGCTTTACAGTAATTTACCCTTTGACTGTCGCGGCCGTATATATACGTCTTACGAGGTACTGTGTTTGACGTAAATATACTCATAAATTCTAGCGGCTTCAAATCAAGCAGGAGAAAGCTGGTAGGCCCACATGTGAGAGAATGGGTCTGTGGGGTCAGTGTGCACCATATAAAAAAAATCCTGGAGCACGCAGTGCATAATGAGAAAAAAAAACTCCGACCGTTTTTTTTTAATTAAAATGCCGACTTTGTGGTCTATTTTCGTATAGTATTTATGGTTGTATTCTCATTTTCTTGGTCTCATTTGATAGAAAGGAAAACATATTATAGAAATAGAGGTGATTTTGATTGATTTTACTATAAAAAGAACCTAGAAATGGAACTCAAAGTAGGCGAAATGTTTGATTTTTGCCAATGTTCAAAAGTAAACAAATGATGCCATTGTCCAATAAATGTCCAACTAGCCATTCTAATATGCAGTCATGAATGGGTTGATGTTATTTATACAAATATTACAGTATTGCAGTAGTCTGCATAATAGTAAGTCTTCTATTTTTTGTTTGAATAAAAATTCAAAATAGAAAGCAAGAGTAATATCAGAGGGGCCTGGAGACATGACTGATGAGCAAAGAAAATGTTATTTTAGGGCCAGGAATGTCTGCATTGTTCATTCTGGACCTTATTTTGAAATTGTCATATTTTTTAGTTTTCGTGAAATTGGCCAAATTGCAAATTTCTGACCACATTATTAGGTAGTTGAAATCGGTAAATGGGCAGTTTCTTGTACTCAATCGATAGAAAAAATGGAGTTCTAAAGAAATAGCTATGAGTTTGGGCGACTGGAACAATGGAATTAGCTGAAAATAGGGCTCAAAGTGGGCGAAATCGTCAATTTGTAAACAGCGCCGGGTCGCTAACTTCGCGAGAGCATAATTCCGTCAGTTTTCCATCAAATTTCGTTTTTTTGGTGTCATTACAATCGGGAAAAGATTCTCTATCATTTCATAAGAAAAAATAATTTTTTTTTTAAATTTTGCGACACCAGGAGACACCTCAGGATTGGGGGTTGCGACAGTCAAAGGGTTAAACGGTCCAAACAGATCGACGTTCAAATTCATAGTGCTACAAAAGTAGATCTACTTTTTTTTACATATTTTCAAATATAACAAAAAAAAATGAAAAGTTTTTTTACACGTTTTCACATGTAAAACAAAAAAAAATCTACATTTTTTTTACATACTTTCAGATGTTGAAAAAACGTAAATATATACGTTTAGACCATTTAAGGGTTAAATTTTGCGACACCAGGAGACACCTCAGGATTGGGGGTTGCGACAGTCAAGGGGTTAAGAATGGTGTGGTTAGTACTGTCCCTGACAGCATTAACCACACCATCATCTTTTATACAATGAGAACTTGACTATGTCAAGGCCTCATTTTATGTGGATGAATTTGCAGTGTACTGCTTGGTGTCTAATTCCAGGGTGGCCTGTCACCAGTTTCAGGTGGCAGTGGCCATCACAGAGTGGGATGATCCTAACAGATTGTTTACTAAGATGATGGTGGTTGCTCATTTTAACTGATCCCAGGTAAGACAACCTACTTCCTATGTGCTACTCTATGGTGTGATTCTTTTTAATGTGCAGGAGATGACAGTTTTGGGAAATATCTTTGATTATTACCAGGCATGAGCTTCATATAAAGAAGCTCAAGGTGGATGCTCAGTGACTGCTAGACATTCTTAAGATTTTTTTTTATTTTTTTCAACAAGTCGGCCATCTCCCACCGAGGCAGGGTGACCCAAAAAAGAAAGAAAATCCCCAAAAAGAAAATACTTTCATCATCATTCAACACTTTCACCACACTCACACATTATCACTGTTTTTGCAGAGGTGCTCAGAATACAACAGTTTAGAAGCATATACGTATAAAGATACACAACATATCCCTCCAAACTGCCAATATCCCAAACCCCTCCTTTAAAGTGCAGGCATTGTACTTCCCATTTCCAGGACTCAAGTCCGACTATATGAAAATAACCGGTTTCCCTGAATCCCTTCACTAAATATTACCCTGCTCACACTCCAACAGATCGTCAGGTCCCAAGTATCATTCGTCTCCATTCACTCCTATCTAACACGCTCATGCACGCTTGCTGGAAGTTCAAGCCCCTCGCCCACAAAACCTCCTTTACCCCCTCTTTCCAACCCTTTCGAGGACGACCCCTACCCCTCCTTCCTTCCCCTATAGATTTATATGCTTTCCCTGTCATTCTACTTTGATCCATTCTCTCTAAATGACCAAACCACCTCAACAACCCCTCTTCTGCCCTCTGACTAATGCTTTTATTAAATCCACACCTTCTCCTAATTTCCACACTCCGAATTTTCTGCATAATATTTACACCACACATTGCCCTTAAACAGGACATCTCCACTGCCTCCAACCGTCTCCTCGCTGCTGCATTTACCACCCAAGCTTCACATCCATATAAGAGTGTTGGTACTACTATACTTTCATACATTCCCTTCTTTGCCTCCATAGATAACGTTTTTTGACTCCACATATACCTCAACGCACCACTCACCTTTTTCCCCTCATCAATTCCATGATTAACCTCATCCTTCATAAATCCATCCACCGACACGTCAACTCCCAAGTATCTGAAAACATTCACTTTTTCCATACTCCTCCTCCCCAATTTGATATCCAATTTTTCTTTATCTAAATCATTTGATACCCTCATCACCTTACTCTTTTCTATGTTCACTTTCAACTTTCTACCTTTACACACATTCTCAAACTCATCCACTAACCTTTGCAATTTTTCTTTAGAATCTCCCATAAGCACAGTATCATCAGCAAAAAGTAACTGTGTCAATTCCCATTTTGAATTTGATTCCCCATAATTTAACCCCACCCCTCTCCCAAACACCCTAGCATTTACTTCTTTTACAACCCCATCTATAAATATATTAAACAACCATGGTGACATTACACATCCCTGTCTAAGACCTACTTTTACCGGGAAGTATTTTCCCTCTCTTCTACACACCCTAACCTGAGCCTCACTATCCTCATAAAAACTCTTAACAGCATTTAGTAACTTACCACCTATTCCATATACTTGCAACATCTGCCACATTGCTCCTCTATCCACTCTATCATATGCCTTTTCTAAATCCATAAATGCAATAAAAACTTCCCTACCTTTATCTAAATACTGTTCACATATATGCTTCAATGTAAACACTTAATCTACACATCCCCTACCCACTCTGAAGCCTCCCTGCTCATCCGCAATCCTACATTCTGTCTTACCTCTAATTCTTTCAATTATAACCCTACCGTATACTTTTCCTGGTATACTCAGTAAACTTATTCCTCTATAATTTTTACAATCTCTTTTGTCCCCTTTCCCTTTATATAAAGGGACTATACATGCTCTCCACGAATCCCTAGATGTTCTCCCATTATACCTGGGAAACATAGCAGAGAGCCATTCCCCCCTTCTCCCTTCTTTTTTCTCAATCACAACTTGATATGATCCAGTACAGATCAAAAGTGTCATCAAGTCTTCAATGCCAATTTATGGGTTACTTATGCATTAACTTTGTCTCTTATAACTTACCCATTTTCTTCCTCTGGTGGTTTGGTGTGTACAATATCATCATCTTCTGTGTGCTCCTCCTCATTATCCTCCTCCTCTTGTTGCTGCTGCTGCCGCTGCTGTCGCTGGTCATCGTCTTGCTCCTTGATGCTATTTGACTCAGCCTCTTCCCATCTGTCAATGATATTAGCATGAGAGGACATGACTGCGAATATTTACTGAAAAATTAAAAAACGATTACTATACTTGTGACTAGTCATAAGAATTATTCTACACTCGAACCCTACACACATTTCAGCAGCCTCCAGTGTCTTGAGCCTCTGTGACACCCCATCCTACTACATATATATATCTTTCTTTCAACACACCGGCCGTATCCCACCGAGGCGGGGTGGCTCAAAAAGAAAAACAAAAGTTTCTCCTTTTACATTTAGTAATACTATATACAGGAGAAGGGGTTACTAGCCCCTTGCTCCTGGCATTTTAGTCGCCTTTTACAACACGCATGGCTTACGGAGGAAGAATTCTGTTCCACTTCCCCATGGAGGCAAGAGGAAATAAACAAGAACAAGAACTAGTAAGAAAATAGAAGAAAACCCAGAGGGGAGTGTATATACTATATGCTTGTACATGCATGTGTAGTGTAACCTAAGTGTAAGTAGAGGAAGCAAGACGTACCTGAAACCTTGCATGTTCACGAGACAGAAAAAAAAAAAAAAAAAGACACCAGCAATCCTACCATCGTGTAAAACAATTACAGGCTTCTGTTTTACACTCACTTGGCAGTACGGTAGTACCTCCCTGGGCGGTTGCTGTCTACCAACTTACTACCTACAATATATATATGCATGTATATATCTTTCTTTCAACATATCGGCCGTATCCCACCGAAGCGGGGTGGCCCAAAAGGAATAACGAAAGTTTCTCCTTTTACATTTAGTAATACAGTGGTCCCTCAATAATCGTCTGGCCTGAAAGTCGTCCATTTCGGAAATAGTCCCGTTAATTTGTCTAAACATTGGCTTGCAAATGGTCCGTTAACTCGCTAATCATCTTTCGTCCTGGACGTGTGCTCATGGCTCTGAGCCGTTCTCAGTCAATGTGCCACTGTTTACCAGCGAGCGACGGTCCCTCTCACATGTTCATATGAAATATTTCATAGTACATTATTCCATTCATTTTAGTGCTTGCAAGTGCTAAATAAGCTACCATGGCTCCAAAGAAAGCTCCTAGTGCTAAGCCTTTGGTAAAGAAGGTGAGAAATACGATTGAATTTAAGAAAAACATCACTGAACAATATGAAAGTGGCGTACGTGTGGGCGAACTGGCCAGGATGTATAACAAATCCCGTACAACCATATCTTCCATCATTGCCAAGAAAAAGGAAATCAAGGAAGCTGTTGTTGCAAAGGGGGTAAATATGCTGACAAAAATGAGATCACCAGTACTTGAAGATGTTGAGAAGTTATTATTGGTGTGGATAAACGAGATACAATTAGCAGGAAAAGACTAGGCAGTTGCATGACGATTTGGTAAAGAAATTGCCTGCAACTAGTGGTGATGTGAGTGAATTTAAGGCCAGCAAAGGCTGGTTTGAGAGATTTAAATATGATTGGGCAGCTGGGAATTCATAATGTTCGAAGCCCGCGAAAGTGGAAAATGCGAATGTTCAGGGAGACCTGTATTATTTATTCCACTGAAACCTATGGTAATTTTACATGCAGAAATAAGGTTATGTTTGATTTACGGGTAGGTCAAAACATACGATAGGCCTAGTGCTCACCTGAACACCCCAATGATCTCTCAATATGAACTGGTGAAACAGTCGCTGGTAGATGAGTTGCTGCTGTGTGAGCAACTCTATACTATAGCGAGGGTCCCAGAGTGCATACTTAGGCGTTTTTGTCAGTGACTATCCGTATAAACAAAAATGGCTGCTTCAGCTGTTGTACCATAACATATGGTAAATATGATTACCAGTACCTAGTAATAAAGTGAAAATACCCAGCATGTGCTAACGATAGCATAGTATATGGTAACATTATTTTAAAGCGCTTACTATAAATGACGCTGCTTTGTGACTTTGGTAGTTCAAGAAATAAGAAAGGAAGGTGTTACTTAGGGAGGAATTTCATTTTCTGTCAATATCCCAATACAGTATCCGTATTTCACAAATAGCTTGTCTCAAAATGTTATTAATTTACTTTAATTATGAAACACTGGACTTGTTTTAGTTTCAATGGTTCAGAATCAGATGTAACTGGGAGAGCTACAGCCCACCCCACACCCCAAACTTATGCTCCTGTCACTGACCTTCAGTTTATAGGAAGCAGGGTGGTTTTTGGAGACATTTTATGGAGAAAAAAGTGCATCTAATAAGCCGTAAAATATGGTAAGAACGGTAGAGTATATGGAAAGTAAAAGCGAGGTGAAGAGAGTGGTGAGGGAGTGCAAAAGGAGAGCAAATGATAGAGTGGGTGAGGCACTGTCAAGAAATTTTGCTGAGAGTAAGAAAAAATTTTGGAGTGAGATAAATAGGCTAAGAAAGCCTAGGGAACAAATGGATTTGACAGTTAAAAACAGAATAAGGGAGTTAGCAGATGAGGAGCTGGAGGTATTGGGAAGATTACAGGAATATTTTTAGGAACTGTTAAATGTTGATGAAGAGAGGGAGGCAGTAATTTCATGCACTGGCCAGGGAGGTATAACATCTTTTAGGAGTGAAGAAGAGCCGGATGTGAGTGTGAGGGAGGAAAATCTATTAGATAATATGTTTGACAGTGTGACTTGACAGTCCTCACAAAGCAGTGCTTGGCATTACTCTATGCAGCATCTGTGAGTGAGTCACATGCCCAATACATAAGCACAAAAGTGCAGTCTCCCAAACCCAACAATGGTGGGAGGAAGATGCCCAGATTCATAAACGTGATTTTATTGAAAACAATTTGTTGTGGTCCAATGCAGACCAATGTTACTGCTAGTAGTTGCAGCAATGGTGAAAGAGGACTGAAAAATAGCCCAAGCAAGGACTACCCCTATCGGAAATAAGGTCGTCTTGAATAGCTAACTGAGCATCTGAGTCTGCACGATCGTTGCCCTGAACATCGGAATGTTCAGAGATCCAGCAAAATACTACTTATTTATGCTTAATAGAAATGTAGATTAACCAAAATTATACACGAAGGACAATGAGATGAGAGGAGTCAAATTTCTGGATAGACTGTAATAACCTTCAGGTATCCAAAACTACTATGGAGGATGAGGAAGACATGGTTGCGATGGGGATGATAGCAGTGAGAATTGCATGTAACTCCATTGTGAAAATATTAACTGACTGTAATAAATGATCTCTGATGATTCATTCAGGAAAAACAGATGCATACCTGACACCATCAGTATATGCTTCAACAGCACAAGTGTGAGAACAAAAATATTCAATAAAGATTGAGTGTGCAATAATAGTAGGCATGTGAGCTTCTGCACATAGCTTAATGGATTTAAACACCTTTACTTTTAAGAAATTTTGAGAGCTTTCCTACTCCCTCAGCCTGGTCCCGGGTCAGGCTTGTTTGGTGCTTGTTTGATTAACCAGGTTATTGTTTCTGATAGCCTGCTGATCTACATATCCATCACAGCTCGAGTTGGGAAGGTTGGGGACGCCCACCATGTTGCTCTTGGCCAAAACACAATAGCTATATAGTCTTTCTGGTCTTGGGTTAGCAAGCAGGGCACAAATTTAATAGGCACTCACCTCAAGTTCAAATTTTTGGTCAAAACACTTTGACACAACCTAATAAATTCCCACAGCACTTGCAGCATCCTGGATACTCTCACAATGATCTTCATAAATAGTCTTCCTCATTTTTTCAATGTTGGAGTTTGTCATAGACATTAATGGATGACCAAAGTGTTCATCATCCTTAACTGATGTTCGTCTTGCGGTCAGTTGAGAAAACCATTCAAAACACAGTGTCTGACCCACTGTTTCATCGCCAAATGCTTGCTGAAGCATTTTGATAGTTTCACTAGCAGTTTTACTGAGCTTGAAACAATTTCACACAAACACACACATTGTTCTTTCTTTTAAAGATTCCATTGTTACATACACAAAAAAAAAAACACAACTCAACCACTGACAACATGACAATTATTATTATTATAATAAAAAAGAAGCACTAAGCCACAAAGGCTATACAGCGGACAGCATGACAAAATATGCCCATCTAACCTCAACAGAATGACAGACCTCAATGACACTCACCACACTACTTCACAAAGAAGTGCACTGTACAGTGTGATCTATACCTCTGCCATATTTCACCCAGGAAGCATGTGAAAATTCGAGTCTGGCAACTTTTTGATAGCGCCTCATATTTGTGATAGCTGTGTGTCTAATTAGTTTTTTGTTGTTCATGAAGAGCAAATCTAGTGTATTTTCATTTCTAGTGGATTCTATAATCTGTTGGTTCAAAGTAAACTTTTCAGAAAGCTCCATTAACTCTCTGATATGTACTGTAGAACTAACATGCTTCCAGGAACTATTTCTAGTAGAGTACAGTGATACTATCTTCCATTTCATATTTGGGAAGTTGAAATCTCGAAAGGGATATTCTGCTGTGAGATTTTCAAGATTTTCAAGGCAGCCATCATTTTTTTTTTTTTTTAAACACAGGCTGTTTTCCACCGAGGCAGGTGACCCAGAAAAGAAACACTTTCACCATTTGCACTATCACTGTCTTGCCAGAGGGGCATAAATAGGACAGTTTAGAAGTCCTTCTAAACAACAAATATCCCAACCTTCTTTTAAGGCAGCTATCTTATTCATTCTGTGAATTCCTCAGTCATTGCTGATTGTGATTTATATAGAAGGATAATTACTAGAGTCTTATTTTCCACTTTAATACTTAGAATTTCTACTGTATCATTTGATGAATTCAACAGTTCAGTAAAATGCCTAAATTACCTGGAGCATTTGTAAGCCCCTGAATTGCATTCCTTGGAATAGTACTGTACATATATGATAATTTAAAATTGGAAAACTGGAAAGATTAGTTCCAAGTCTGTACTGTTTGGTGAGCAAGAGGTTCACCATACAGTGCAAAATATCTCCAATGAAGAGCAGAGGTGCAATGAACACACTAGGTGGCAACTCAATAAGTGTAAAGCAGTGGCAT